CAGCTGACACGGTGCCAAGTTCCGATTGGCTAAATTGTTAAGGATGACGTTGTCAATAATTTTTAGGTTGTTTGGAGATACATTATGTGATGCCACAACGAATTCTTTATCGTACTCGCTTGGGGGTATTGCCAATTCAACTGGATTTCTTGACATATAGTCTTTTAGCATCATTTTGTTGCCCGCCATATGTTTGATATTAAAATGGAATGGAATTAGTCGGTCAATCCAACGTCTTACTCTACTTTGATTTTTTGATCTTTCACTTGCATTTAAACCGCTGATCAAAGCTTGATGTTCAGTGATGACGGTAAAGTAATTTCCATAAAGATAGTATTTGAAATGTTCGATGGCCCAAATTTACCCAAGTAATTGTAACTCATTAACTGAATATTTCTTCTCAAGAGATTTTTTAAAAATGTGATGCATAAGCTATCGCCACCCACCTTTCTTTTGAATGTTGCTCGAGTGACGCTCCTAAACCTGAGGTGGAGGCATCGCACACTATGCGCGCTTCCAAGTGTTGATCAAAATGTTTGTTCTGTGTTATTTCGAAGACTAACTTAATGATATTTTTAATGATGTATTGTGTTTCGATTTCCAGTTAATTGGTTTTTTTTCTCTGTATTTTTTTTAGTAAAGGTCGTAATGCAGCTGCCGTCTGTTTTAAATTAGGAATAATCCTGGTGGGATGGTGTATGGAGCCCATAAAATTTTTTAGTTGTTAAAAAGTTATCGGTGGTGATAATTTTTCAATCGCCTCTGTTTTTCGTATTAAGGTTTCAGTGCCTTCGCTGTTTATGGTGTACCCTAGCCACTCAAATTGTCTTCACGCAAAATTACACTTGTCCAGTGGTATTGCGAGGTTTTCCGCATCTAGTTTTTCCAGTATCGTTTGAAATTTTTGTTTGCGTATATCGAATGATCCTTAGGTACTATGAGTATGTCATCCAGATATGCGTACGTGTTCGAGCAATTGGTAAGTATCAAATCAATAGCCCTCTGAAATTCAGCTGGAAAATCCTTGAGACCGTAAAATCCGGTTTGAAAGTGATACGTCCCGGTTGGCACTGCCACCAATTAAACTGAAATTACATTGTTCTCGAGTTGGTTTGTCCAACGGGATTTGTGAGTACGCATATAGCAAATCTAATGTTGAGGTAAAAGTTTGCTGATTATTGTTTGATTTCACCATTTAGGCTATGTTGTCTAACAGCAGATTAATATTAGGCATAACTACTCTGATGAACTCTGATTTTTTGCATAATTACTGCGTCCACACACATGTGTGTGCTGGTTCTTGTTTTACTGTTTATTGATTTCCGAAAGGATTTATCTTCATAGTTCGATAGTTTTCTCCCGGCGAATTGCATATTCATATGCATCCTGTGCGCTTCGAATTTGAGCTAGTAGTTCGTCGTCATTTGTTCTTAATTTGTTTATCTTTTTTGCATCAAGGCAATTTGACCGTCTGGTCTTTATTCACGATAATTATGATCGGACTGATGAATTGTCGATCCGGGCATTTAATACAATTTTATAATGGGTTTTTGGTCGATAAGCTTTTTTTCGACTCGTTCTTTTAGTTGCACTGGGATACGGCGTCCTAATTGTTGGTTCAGAATAATGTCTTTGCTACGTACACATAATAGTAGAAAATTGTCTTTAACCCATTGTTTGATATTAGGGTTTGATTCTTCTGGCTCGTATATATTCAGCACGTCCCCTCGTTTTTGTTTTTCTTGAACTAATTTAATTCCGAACTGCGGTAATATATTTCTAGCTATGATGTTTGCTTTCTGGTCGTCAACATTGATGAATGGGGCGGCTTGTATTTTCTAACCTCCAGATTCAATTGTTATAATCAATCTTCTTTTTGAGATTAACTTTTCGCCATTGTAACATGCCAAATTGCGAGCAGCGTGTTCTGGTGGTATACGTTTGAACAATGCTGACTTGTCATTTTCTTGTAGCCGCCCAGCTATTTTTTCGTTTAAAAACGACATTGGACTCCCGGAATCTGCGATAGCGAACAGCTCTTCTGTTTTGTTCTTTAGCTTAACGATATGTCCGTTAAGATCATCTTGTGATAAACTGGCCGTGTTTCTAATTTCCAAAGCTTCCGAAAATGCCAGTTCCGAAATTTTATCAATTTGGTATTCATCCAACAATCTTTGGATGTAAACTCTGCGAATCCTACTGGATTGTTCTCCGTTTCTTGACTCTCAGTCTCAATTTCTTCTTGTTGTTCCTCTTCATTGCGGTCCCCCATATAGTTGACGTTTCCAGAACGGCACACTTTAGCAAAGTGCCCCAGTTCGGCACATTTTGAACAAATTATATCCTTTGCGGGACACGATTGTAAGTTTGGTTATCACAATTTGGTTATCACATTTGCATTATTGTTTCTGAGTATTGAAGTTTGTGTTTCGTTGTTGCTGTTGTCCTCTTGTATTTTGCTGTCCACGTGAAGATGGTCAACCGCGAAATCCGCCCCGACTACTCTGTGAACTCTGATTATTCGCATAATTACTGCGTCCGTCCACTTGTGTGTGCTGGTTCTTGTTTTACTGTTTACTGATTTCCGAAAGGATTTATCTTCATAGTGCGACTATTTTCGATACCTTTCTCCCGGCGAATTGCATATTCATATGCATCCTTTGCGCTTCGCATTTGAGCTAGTAGTTCCTCGTCGTTTTTCTCGCTATGCATGTGTGCGGTGAACATGTCTCTCACCCACTCGTCTTCTCGGTCTCCACAATCGTCCCTTGAAGCCAGTTCAACTAGATCTGCATGGAATTGCTTAAGACTGTCCGTTTTCTTCTGTTTTCTACAAATGAAGTTGTATCTTTCAAGCGCTACGATTCTGGTTTTGACAGAAATATCTTCTCGGGTCGTTATTAATTTTCTTGTAGTCACCGTATGTAAATCAAAGCCCGGTCTCTTTTGCTGTACTTGTCGTTGCCCCTCGGCTTCAAGACAGAGAAAAATGTAGCTTCGTACTTTTGCGTCTGCCTCATCCCACCGGAAAGAATAACATAAATTTCCTTTTTCTCTGCTCGTAACCACGCGGTTTTCCCAGCCGACTCTCTTTTCTTGGTTTCTAACTTTCCGGTTTTTCTTTGGGCTTCCGTTTCTTCAGTTATCACAACTTCATAGATGGGTTCTGTAGGCTCAACTAGTGGTGGTTTATTTCTTTGTAGATTTCTTACTTCGATTCCGTCTTTGCAAATACTGCCATTTCGAACATTGCTGCCCATTTCGACCACACTAGAGGTGGTTCAGGCGAGGCTTTCTCCCAGAACGGCCTGATGTTTAGCGGATTTTTCGAAATATCTGCTGGCTGCGCCATGTCATACCTCAATGTATGAATTTGAGTATATCGAATCCGAACGGATTGATAAACGGAATGTTTGATGCGAGTTCGATAAAAACAACTGTTCTTAAGAATCGTAAATATCGTCTGAGGTATTGCTCATGTTTTCTTTTCGGCGTACAGCCGTAAAGGTCAATGACCAAACATGTTATTGAATTTATATCAATAGGTCGAACATAATTGTATGCATCAAAGATGCTAAGTTCATCCATCCGTACCGGATGACACTCTGAATCGAGCAGAATGCCTTTTTAGGTCTATGGAGCAGTAATAACATGAAAAATTTATTGTGATGAAATAAAATTAACTTTTTTCATTATGAGTTTTTTTTGTGAAAATCATGCCATCACACGCCATATAAAGTACAAATTAAAAGCTTTGGCTCCTATTAAGAAATCAATTATGGAAAATAAGTTTTCAACCAATTTGGAACGATTTCTGAGTCGAATTAAATCTCCGCTGACGCGTTAATAGCGTGAAATATATCGCGAGTTAATTGTCACAAATTGGCGAAAATGGCAATCCTTAAACCCCCATAAAAAATGGATCTCAGGTGAAATATCTTTTTTTTTGAATTTAAGCTAAGAACAATACCTTTTGAATCATATAAAAACTTGCTCAAAAATGGTTAGTTGTCTGAAGAAAAAAGCCACCCCGAGCACAAATATTCCGTTACTTTCGTTGCGAAAGTCGGAACAGTAAATTTGAAAACTCTGAGCAGAATTTTCTGAGCTTTGCATAGCAACTGATCTGCCTTTTGTTAATTTTAACACAAGTTGGGTGGATCAATTTATTAGATTCCATCAGTTTTGTTTTTATTTTATCATGGTTTTTATTTTTTTCGCATTTAAGGGTCGAATTCACTGCAGGAAGGTGTTTATTCTGAAAAGCCAATGCTGGTTTTTCCAGGATTCGGCGACCAACCCGTCAACGCCAGATCACTCGTCGAGAAAAACATGGCTCTACCTCTAGCTTCCCTGACATATTCCGAAATCTCATCGAAACTGGACGCCATAATGGAGCCAAGTAAATACTCAGAAATGCAGAAATCACTCAGGAAAAGTAAAATTTTGATGACGTCACTGGGCGGATTTTCAAAGGCTGCTGAGATTGTAGAAAAAGTGTCGCTGGGTGAAGTTACAGTTGATCACAACCCTGATAAGTTGTTCGATGTTTTGCAAGAGTGTAAGCAATTTTTGTTCATGAATGGTATTATTTTCTTAGCTTTGCTGTATATTTCTGTCAAATTGTTTCTTTTGACCTGTCGTCGGCGACTCAAAATGAAAAAGTCATGAAATTTTAGCTTTCGGCTTCTATATGCCAATTAAACTGCTCCGAATCTGAAATGAGTTCATAGTACTCTGAGAATTGTAAACTGAATCAATATTTATGTATTTCCTGTGAGAAGGAATGATTTTCCACAAGTCTATTTGAAACAAAACGGCCTATTTTTTCACTGCTTGACAGTAAACGTTGCGGTTCAAGTAGTGTATTTAAATTGATTGGTTCTCAAAACTCTCTGATCAAACCAGACTCAATATCAGACCATCAAAACTCACTCTAAATTAACTATCGTTTTATTGGAACCGTAAGTTGTACAAAAAATGAGGAATCAAAAAATAGCTTAGGTTGAATCTGATATCTCTATACTTCTCTTGCTGTTCAAACTCTCAATTTCAACTCCATGGTAAAATCGATGCAGCTTCTCCAGAACGCGTGCACTTTTCACTGGGTGTATAGCAAAAGGAGGGTCGTTGATGTTCAAAGATTCAACACTGGGCACGCCCCCGAGTAAGGAAAAATTGTACATGTCAAGGTCAAAATCAGTGAAAGGTTTATTGCTAAACGTAGCGATGCATGATCCGAAAAATACATCTTCAAGAGTCCAAAAACATGCCGAAGTCTTTTTTCTCAGGTTTCCCTGCATAAGTCCAATGCAGTGAAAGGGGCATTTGGATACAATTTGAGGTAGAAGGTTGGCTGAGAAGAAATAGGCGGGTCCGTTGCAGTACATCGGGTAAACTGGTTCGGAGTATTTGCTAGTAGGCACCATCCATTTGCGATAGCGTCTGTGTGACCGCAACAGTGTTGGTCGGAGAACCTAAAACCTAACTTTAAATCTGCGCAATGATACATTTTAGCGTTTTAAATCCTCTGTTTGTCGGTAATATTTAGATTAGAAAAATATGAACAAGACTGCTCGTATCAGAGCGAAGACTTGAATGTACCGACTGTCTTTTAAAGTCTATGGAGCAGTAGTAATATGAAAAAAATAATAATGTAAAAAAATAAAGTTCATTTTTTTATTTGAGATTTTTTGTGATCATCCCACCACACGCCATATAAAGTACAAAGTAATAGATTTCGCACCTAGTAACAAATCACTTATGGCAAATAAGCTTCCTCCAACCAATTTGAAACGTTTTTTTAAAATGGATTAAGTATCCGCTTACGCGTTAATAGATCTTCAAGAGCCAAAAATAGCTGTCAGCCAAAATTGGATGTCTCAAAACAGAACAAAGGGGGACCTTTTGGGTCAGCAGGGGTCGAATCTCTAAGAAGTGTCCCTCCCCCCTTAAATCCGCCCCTGATTTTCACTAAACTAACAGATCAGCAAAACCAAATTAGGTAAACACAATTGCGGAATCAAAGATTTACGGAACGAAATTTTCCTGAAGAAAACTAAATTTGAAATTGCGGCCCGCACTCAGAAAAAGAGAAAACATTAGATTAAAATGGAATTTGTCGTCCGTCTCTATAAATTTCAAAAAGCATCAATTTTAATCTTTTAAAAATGGATAATATTGTTACTGTGTTTCGAAACAAAAAAAAACATTATAATCGATAATTGATTGAAAAATTGTTTCTGAAATTTTATTGAATTATAATCCATTTTAATTGATTATAATCCATTATTATTCAACAAATGTCATCACTTAATTCCGTTCAATTTTGTTTCGTTTTGTGTGTTTTTCAGTTGGTATGTTTTCTCACCGTTTACTGTTTGCTGTTTACTTTCTTAATGTTTACTGTTTACTGTTTACTTTTTTACTGTTTACTTTTCACTGATTTCTTACTTCTTACTGAATTTTAGTGTATTTTCATTCAGCGATTAGAATCCACTATATTTGTTTAGAAATTATGAAAATGTCATCAAAAAGGTTATGATTCTTCTAATGGATTATAAGTCGTTTAAACATCTAAAATTGGCGCTTATAATTAATTATAGTTTTGCTAAAAGTACAATTATAATTACAATAAATTGATTATTTTCTTTTCTTACTGAAAGCGGAGTTGTCCATGGCAAGAGCGTTTTTTATTTTTTGTTTTCAAGTTGTTCTTGAGAAATCTGTTTGTCATAGTGTACAAACCTCAGACTTCATTTCATGTAATGGCGCAATTGTTTAGTTTTTTTCGTTTCATGAAAAAATCATTTCAAAAAATTCTCGTTCTTATTGATATACAACCTCGAACAGCCATAAAAGTTACCAGTAAAAATCAAACCAGTCGCTGTAACTAGCTAAAAAAGTTAGTCGCACCTAAAATATCATACATTTTTGCTTTCAGTTATCTCTAAAAGAACCAAATTTAAATCTTTTTGTTTTTTTTTTTGTGTCAACTTTTTCGGAAAAAATGTCACAACCACATTTTGACTGAGCCTTAAACTGATAGCGTCAATTGCTACAAAAACAATTACGCTCACTTAAATTTCCAAACTACAATGATTTATAAAAAAAAAACTAAAAACGAGAACTTCGATGGTTTTAAGAGAAAAAAGTAGCTTCAGTTTTTACTGCTAAAACTGTTTTTCAAGTTCTTTTTTATTGTTAAAACAATTGTAGGGAAAAGTTTTAGTTCTTTTTAAATATTGGCTAGTAATTAATTTCTCAGCCCGTATATTATACTATGGAGCAAATTCTTATAAAAAAAAGCCCGTTATTGTGCAATTGGCAGAAAACCCTCTTGCTACTGTTTTTTTTTCGAATAAATAAAATAAATGGAAAAACTAATCCAAAACGAGGCCAAACTGTGCACTGGATAGGCGCACAATGTGTCTGTGTGTTACTAGACTTGAGAGACAAGCTTTTAAACATGTTGCAAAATGTAAGTGGATTCTAATTACAAAAATTCTATGGATTCCGCGTACGAAATCCAGTAACGTAATTTTTGTCGGCACATTAGTTTTGCTGCGGATTCCACTCACAGTTGTGGATTACTCGACAGCTTAAATACTTTTATGTAATTCTGTATTACTCAAACTGTTGTGGGTTCCACAAACTTGTTCCGGATTCCACACATTTCGTTGCGGATTCCGCAAAGTTGCCTGTTTTTGGAGCAGTTTTGAGCAATACAGTGTTTTGCTATTTGTCCGAGGGATCCAAAACAACAAAGAAGATCAGGAAAAAACAACGTTGCAGGTTCCGCGACAAACTGTGATTGACCTGTAGTGTTTGTTTTTTAAAAGTTTATTTGATTTTTCTGAGTTTCTTGTTTAATTTTGCACGTTGCTAAGAATGAGAAAAAGAAATAGCACAAAAACGTAGATCGAAAAATAGGTATAGCTATTATATATACAAATGCATGATCAAGTAATTGCAGGATCGAACTGCCTGATAAAGGGCTTTGATGGGAAAGAGTGGTAACTTGGTCAACATTGCACAGATTGAATTCAATTCTGCAGTCATTAGAGCATTTTTGAGATTTTTCCTCAAAAAAGTCATGAACATCATCCAGACTTATAAAAACTAAAATCACTTCGTTCTACATTAGCGGAAAAAGTATGCGCCAATTCATTGTTTTGCTCTTCAAAATTAAGTCTTTTATGGTGCATTTTGGACAGCAGTTAGATAGCTTTTCAGCGAAATTTGTTTTTGCAAAACAAGATTATATGAACAGAGCTACCCCCTAAGAAATTATCAATGTGTGGTTTCGAAGATTTACCAGTGCTAAAACTGTTTTTCGAGCTTTTTTTTTCAAGTTCAAACAATATTAGGGAAATCTTTTAGTTTTTTTAAACATTCGCTAGTTACTATTTTCCAGCTTGTAAATTATACTATGAAGCAAAATCTTATAAAAAGAGTCGGTTGTTGTGCAAATGGCAGAAAATCATCAAGCTACCGTTATTTACTCGAATTAGAAAAATAAATGGGAAAACTGATTCATTACGAGGTCAATCTTTGCACTGGATAGACGCACAATAAGTCTCTGTGTTCGTGGAATTAAGAGACAAGCTTTTAAACATGTTCCAAAAGGTAAGTGGATTCCGCTTATGACTTTCAGTAACGTAATTTTTATCGGCACGTTAGTTTTGTTGTGGATTCCGCAACGAGCGAAGAACAGGCATTTGTTCCGGATTCGGCAAGTGTAAGCGGACTCCGCAATTGTAAATAGATTCCGCAAAATTATGCAGATTCCTCTTAAAGTTTGCGGATTCCGTTACCTTTGCGGATTCAACTCACAGTTGAGGATTCCACGACAGCTCAATTTCACTAAACACACAATTACTTTTACTTTTTTTGGATTACTCAAATTGTCGTAGATTCCACAAAAATGTTCCGGATTCCACACATTTAATTGCGGATTCCGCAAATTTGCTTGTTTTTGGAGCAGTTTTGAGCAGTACAATTTTTAGCTATTTGACCGTGGAATCCAAAAAACAAAAAAGATCAAAGAAATAGCAATCTTGCGGGTTCCGCAACAAATCTGTGCTTGAACTGTTGCGGAACCCGCTTGCAAATCACAAAATGCCCAGTTTGGTCTCGTAGTGTTTGTTTTTTAAAAATGTATTTGATTTTTTCTTAAGTTTCTTTTTTAATTTTGCTCTTTGCAAAGAATGAGCAAAAAAAATGGCACAAAAATATAGATCGAAATATAGGTATAGCTATTAAATACAACAATGCATGATCAAGTAATTGCATGATCAAACTGCCTGATAAACGGCTTTAATAGAGAAGGATGGTAACTTAGTTAAAACCGCACAAGATTGATTAAAACCGCACAAGAACTCTGCAGTTATTAGAGCTTTTTTGAGATTTCTTCTCAAAAAAGTCATGAACATCATCTAGACTTATAAAAACTAAAATCACTTTGTTCTACACTAGCGGAAAAAGTATGCGCAAATGTAAGTGGATTCTAATTACAAAAGTTCCGTGGATTCCGCATACGAAATCCAGTAACGTAATTTTTGTCGGCACATTAGTTTTGTTGCGGATTCCACTCACAGCTGCGGATTCCACGACAGCTTAAATTCACTAAACACATTTACTTTTATGTTTTTCTAGATTGCTCAAACTTTTGAGGTTTCCACGAACTTGTTCCGGATTCCACACATTTCGTTGCGGATTCCGCAAAATTGCCTGTTTATGGAGAATTTTGAGCAATACAGTGTTAGCTAATTGGCCGTGAAATTCAAAACAACAAAGAGGATCAGAAAAACGTAATGTTGCAGGTTCCGCAACCAATCTGTGATTGACCTGTTGCGGAACCCGCATACAATTCACAAAATGCTCAGTTTGGCCTCATAGTCCTTGTTTTCATAATGGTTAATTGATTTTTTTCTAAGTTTCTTGTTTAATTTTGCACTTTGCAAAGATTGAGCAAAAAAATTTAGCACAAAAACGTAGATCGAAACATAGGTTTAGCTATTATATGTACAAACGCATGAACAAGTAATGACATGATCAAATTGCTTGATAACCGGCCTTGAGGGGGAAGGGTGGTAACTTGGTTAGAATTGCACAAGATTGAATTCAATTCTGCAGTTATTAGGGCTTTTTGAGACTTTTTCTCAAAAAAGTAATGAATATCATCCAGACTTATAAAAAATAAAATCTTCTTGTTCTACACTAGAGTTACAAGACAAGACCATATGATCAGAGCTGCCCCCTAAGAAACTATCAATGTTTGGTTTCGAAGATTTACCAGTGCTAATACTGTTTTTCGAGCTTTTTTCATCATTCAAACAATTTTAGGGAAATCTTTTAATTTTCTATAACATTTCGCTATTTATTATTTACCAGCCCTTAATCTACACTATGAAGCAAAATCTTAAAAAAGAAGCCGGTTGTTGTGAAGTGGCAGAAAATCATCAAGCTATCGTTT